ACAAAGGACAAGGGAAAACACACACAAGCTACAGTATGGGTCACTTTGATTAGGTCTTAGGAAAAAAGCTTCATAGTGACAGTGGTCAAACACTGGAACAGGTTACTCACAGAGGCTGTGGAATCTCCATCTTCTGTGATATTCAAAACCCAAGTGGACATGATCCTGAGCAACCTCATCTAACTTCCAATCAGGCTCAGCAGTGAGCCAAGTGGTGGCCTACATGACCTCCTGAGGTCTCTTCCACTCTCATTCTGTAGTTCTATGCTCCAGCCTCAGTCCACTTAGGCTATAACACTGATTATTTCCTCAAAAAGCCTGTAAAATCTAAGCATAGGACCTGAAAGCCTGTTTCCCCTTTGCTTTCTTGACCTGATCTTCTTGGCCAGATGACCTGACCCATGCAACTAGAGGGTTGCATGCTAGATTAGGATAAAATATTCTAGCTGGCCAACAGAAGTGACTAGCAACTACAAATTATATATTACATCAACAAAGAAAAGGATCTGGCAGAAAAACGTAGGCAGCAGCTGGGCAACAAGATAGTCCAGAAGAAACAGGTCAGTAAAATATTGCAGGGAAAACAACAGTAAAGTCACCAGACAGCATTGTCCTGTGGACAACAGAATGGAAACGAAGCATTGAAGTTTCACCATCCTTCTTAAGTCAGTGACATCATATTACATAAAAATTATGAGGTAATGTGGGTCATTTCATAATCCATGTTTAAAGCATGCTATTTCCCTTCATTGTCAATCCACCTATTGATCACGACCTACTGCTACAGCTTGGACAGTTACAGCCTGAGTTGGCATTTAGAGAGTTCTAACTCTGCTAAGGACATAAGAAGTGATCAAAGATACCCCAGAAAAAAATACACCTTTTGCTTCTATCTGTTTTAGGGGTAAAAAAGAAAGCACTGGGGAAATTATACACCCAAAAACCATGTTAAAAAATTAATGCTATCATGGTTCAAAAGTCAAGCTCTGAAGCCTTGAGAAGTAGCAGTTATAGAACTGAAATTAAACACTAAGATATAGCCTTTAACTATGTGACTAAATACTACTTATCCACACAGAATCCAGCTTCCTTTTGAAAGTGCATTAGTCATCAAGATGAACAAGTGTCCAAAACCTTGCTTTCTCCACAATTATTCTCTGTTACTATGTCAAACCTAATCAACACAATTCAAGCCTTGCTTTAGTAACTCCCAGGAGGAGAAAAATCAAGAAAGACATGCAAAAATCATAACCATTCTTTAATTCTGACTGCCTGATTTGGATGCAAAGTGCTCTGAAAAAAATGTGGTCCTAGACCAGCACAGCTCCCAAAGGCCACATCATCATCACTTCAAAGCTTTAAATTTCCAAACACTTCTGGGCTTATGTGATCTTAACAGTATTCTTTTAAACACAGCTTGTGTATAATAAACATCTAGATTGATGTAAATTAGGTTACAGTTATGCAAGAGATTTCTGAGATTTCTCAAAGTGCCATTCGGACCAGTGGGACTCCTCAGACACTGACAATGTGTGTTTAAGTATAAATACACCTTGCTGAATCAGTGCTTTTACACATGAAAAAAATGGATAGCTCAACTTTCTCCTAAAGCACACACTGAAATGTCTCAATATTAAGAACTGTATTTTACAAGGTTTCATTCATACGAAATGAACTGGAATGTCACTGAGCCGAGCTGCCTGTTCGGGAAAGCACTTTAGAACATTTACCCAACCCCATCACATATGTAAGGTTTACATAAGTATCTAAGTGTTATTCTCAACTGGAAATGAGATGGTTAAACAATTACCCTATTTAAGTTCAAACTGTACTACTAGCTAGGTTAGCAAAATAAAGGCTGCGAGCAAATAACAGAGATAAGAAGTACACCATTCTATTAAAGTATTTTATATGTCTATGAGAAGCACTGCAACCTGACAGAACAATTTTCAATCTGAGACTCTACTTCTGGATCCTACAACTATGCTTCCTCAGATAATAGTCACACTTCCTCTTGCCTCACTTTCCTCATTTGTAACAATGAAGTCTGACAAACTTTAGAGCATTGAAAAAAAACCCCAACATTTGCTCTGCCTAACTTGCTACTTGTAACACATTAGGAAAGTAGCAAACCAGCATGTGACTGCATTCACATCGAGCCATCAGGATTGCTTATGGACACGCATTGCCCTGGGAGCACATTTCTGGACAAGCAGAACAAGTCACATGAGTCTTTCCCTGACCCTGTTTACCTCTCCTTTACTGAGAGGTGGGAAAGCCACCACTCGTTCACCTACTCCCTCTTCACCCACAAGCGGAGATGAAAGGAAGAAAGCCCTGCCAGTTCTAAGCAGCTGACTATGAAAAGCAGCATTTTATAGTGCCAGAGATCCTCAATGAACGGAAATTAAATCACTATGATTGAGTATAGAGTTAAGGGAGGCTACCTGCAGATAGACTATGTTACAGATAGACTATGTCCACACTAGTAAATCAAGCAGTGCCAGGAACCATTCCCAGGAAACAGAATTCCCTCAGTCACAGACTGCTGAACTGAAGACTGGCACAGCATTCTTCTAACATAGGGCAACTACAGGTCTCCCATGCAATTTTGAGGTACAGTTTTGGATTTAACACAGGCCAGGTGCCAGTCACAATCACTAGCTTGTATTCAGCTATCCCACTCTGGAAGGCAGGACAGTTCAGCAGCATTGACAAGAGCCAACCCACACGAGTTGGCTTCAGAACCAGAAAACAGTCTTGGGTGCATTTAATTAGCTGCAGAGAAGTGGTCATAGCCTCTCCAGGCTTCATCTGCTATTATTCCTAAAGGAATATTTTAAAAGTGGAAAATGCAACGATGAAGCATATAAGCATTGCTTGATCAACACCACCTGACAAAAGTCACCTACGCACTGTAGCACACGAGAAGAAAATTAGAAATTAGCAGAGCTCATCTTGGCTTCTTCCTGTTTCCTCTGAGTAGGCAGACCTTGCATATGATCTACTAATTTCCACAGTCTCATTTATTTTCTCAGTTTAAAAAAAGACAAAGTTTATACATTTAGAATACATTCTTACAGTAAAACTACCCTCTACATGAATAATGCAGAATAGCGTAAGAGGCTGCGCTTCTAAGGGCTGATCATTTGGCAGTAAATATTTCAAATTATGGTTATTTAGAAATTATTTTTCTTCTAATTATTAGTCATTACCAAATTTGCTTCTGTAGACTAAAAATGTAATTACTGGTGAGTCTATTATGTTATTCCGGAGCTACTGCAATTTTGGCAAATACATTTTCACAATAGATAACTGCGCAAAAAAACAACAGTAAAAACACATTTGACAACTGACAATACACAGCTATTCCGTGTTATTAATCTTGAAACAAATCTGAAGTTTTTTTACATTTTCATCTATCTAGAAATGGTCTAGTTAAAAATGCCCTTTTCATAATCTGATGCCTCTGATGCCTTTGCTCTAATGTTAGAATGTGTAAGATGTCCCACAGAAAATGCATTATGCAAAACCCTTTTGCCACTGCTTAAGCATTCATGGTTTCAGTAAGGACAAACAATTTCATTAAACAACCCTCTTGGGCATGGATCTAACTTGCTCTGACCATTTAAAATATGTATGTTACCTGTAAATCTTTATGTAAATCAACCTTTTTCTTGGAAAAGTGTTTTTATTGATTTACAAGGAAAACTTCATTATATGCTTTGGGTTATATATATATATATATATAGTAGGCTGCACTGTATTATCTGACTTTTACAAAGCAAGTATGAGGAAAACCATGCAGCACACCCAAATAAAAATTACATACTCGTCTAGGTAGATGAAAAATCATCAAAACCAAGCGAGGCACTTCTATTTTTTTCCAGGAGCCACACGCACGCCGTACTGACACCGGCAGGTTCAAGAGTTGTGCACAAGCAGGAGCCTAAAGAAGCAGGTGACAGCAAGAAGCCAGCCCCACCCCGTGCCCCTGACCAGCGGCCCGGAGGGCAGGTCCAGGAGAGCCGAGGGGAGCCAGGCCACCTCCCGGGGACGGAACCCCGGCCGGAAGCGCGGCCCCCGCACGCCGCCTCCGCGCCGGCACCGCCGCCGACGGAGGAGCAGGAGGCGAAGGAAACCCCCCGCGGGCGGCCCGACGGGCCATGGGACGCGGCCGAGAGCACCCACCCGGGGCTGGCAGCGCTCCCGCCCTCGCTGCCCGCCCGCGGCTCCGGCGGCTCCACCGGGAGAGGGGGCGCCCGGCTCCGCGGTGCCCACGCAGCCTCCTCGGGGCGCCGGCTCCCGAACCGTCTTAGCCCACGGACACGGATCCTCGGGGTAGAGCGGCTTCCTGGTCGTGGGATCCCGGCTGGGGCGAACCAGCATAACCGTGCGGCGCTCCCGGCGCAACTCTCTCCCCGCTCCTGCCGCCCGTCCCGCCGGCCCCGCGGAGCTGCCCCCGCCGCTGCCCGGCAGCGCTCCTCGCCCCGGCTCGGCTCACCTCACGGCGCGGCCGGTGCCCTGCGGAGCCCGGCGCAGCACAAGCGCGGCCTGAACCCATCCCTCCGGGAAGTTTCCTGCCATCGCAGCAGCTGGGGAAAACAAAAGCTTCAGAGCCAGGAGCGGGAGGAGGAGGAGGAAGGGAAGCGCAAGGGGAGAAGTGAGAGGCATTGCTCGCCCGCCGCGCCGCTGCCCTCGGCTGCCGACTCCCGCGGACGGCAGCCCGCTCAGCGCCGCCTCCCCATTGGCTTCGGCGGCGGCTCTGCTGCCCGAGCAGCGCCGCGGAAACGCCGGACTGAGGAGCAGGCAGGCGAGCCAGCGCCTCTCTCCCCTCCCTGCCTCCGTCCGTCCCTGCCCGGCGCCGGCAGCGCTCCCCGCACCGCCCGTCCCGCCGCCGCAGCGCCGCCGAGCCCCGCCCGCGCCGCGGCTCCGCCTCCCGGGGGCGCGCGCACGCTCGGGCCGAGCGGGTCCCACCGCCCCCGGTGCCCGTGGGCGCTCCCGGTGGAGCGGCCCCGCCGACCCTCCGCTCCGCACCAGCGGGCAGCTCGGGCTGGGCTGGGCTGAGCCGCTCCGCAAGGCCACCCCTTCCAATTCTCACCGCCCAGCGCCAGCACGTTGTTCCTGTAAAGTTGGAGGCGTGTCTTTAAAAACCGAGGTAAAAGATGCTGAAAAGCAGGATTAACAAATACAGAGGAGCTCCAAGCTTCCTGCCAGGCAGGGACATAAATATGGTATGTGCTTGGTGGTACTGCAGTCCTTGTGTACATAAAGGGAAAATTATTGTATCTCTAAGAGTCGCTTTATCACAGAGAATTGTGCTAGATGATTTTTAAGGACTAGCTTTCAGAAGCCTTTATGTCACAGCTAATTTGGTAAGGGGGAAGGTTTGCCAAATAGGATATGGTTAGCAACGTTAAGGTCGCATAGTATGTGGCATTGGCAGCCCTATCGCTTCCGAACTGGGATAGGGTGACTGCTGATGCTGAGAAGTGCAAGGCCATAAATTGTAGTTTCAAGCCAAAGTCTACATGGTTCCGGGTAGCTTTTTGTGGTTCTCAGTAGTTCTTTTAGTAATTATGTATTATTGACAAGACTCACTATATCATAACAAATAGCTGTACAAGGATGTAAACTGATATGAAAACTCTGTATTGTATTACAAAACTTGATGTCTAAAACAAGGAAGAGTCTTTCAGAATCCCTTTTCCTATTCAAAGTGCATTTACCTGATTGCCAACTAACAAGTCTCTACATCAGATCACAACTGCTCACAGTGAACTCAGACCGTGAAAGAAGAGAATGAGGAAGCTTCTCATTCTCCCAAATGGATCTCTTAAGCATGCAGCTGATGGGATGCCAGCAGAATGCTAGCAGCTACATCCAGTCAAAGCACTGATATTGCTTTGATTTTTGAGAAGTTCAGGTCTTGATTGAGTTCAGCAGCCACAAGGCTGAGAACTGCAAAGCTAATACAGAGAAAAAGCAATTCTTTATGACAGCTTTAAAAATTCTTTACTGAGTAAAATTATTTCTTTATTCTTACATCTTGTGTAACAAGTGGGTGTCAGCACTTTTTAGGTTGTAATTTCCCATCACAGAAAAATCGCTGTGAAGTTCTGCTACTCATTTGGAATGCATAAGGAAAATAACCTGTGGACCTTATTTGTTTTGTGGGATGCACTCTGAACTCCTCCCATCTGAAATAGGCATAACTAACTACTGAGAACCTGCTCCACTGGGGCTTCTGATTTGTTTTGCTGTGGTTGAATAAAGTTTTTCAAGGCTTTTTCTAACATAGGGGAGGCATGATATATTGATTCAATTTGAAAATTCTCAGATATTATCAGTGCACTCCATCTTGTGGAAGAGGCTACAACGTGTTTTAAAATGATCCTGTTGTGGTTTGTTTGAGTAATTAAACCTAACAATGTTTGGTTCTTACTGCCAAAGCAAGCAACTACATATAGCAGTGGATACAAGAAGTTGTTTAATTCTCAGTCTGCCTAATTGTACCCAATGGATTTGTGTAAATGTCCCTTGGTTTAGGTATGAGCTTCACATCTCCTCTTCCTTTGTTTTTGGAAGGAGCTTTAGGAAAGCATTTGAAGAGTCTAATTTGAAAAGAGAAACTAAAGCAGAAAAGAATCTGCTTTCTAGGTGAAGTTGCCAAGGAGCACCCAGATTTGTGAGAGATTTGGGGATGATGATCTGTGGGGATATGTGGCTGGGGTGAAGACTCTACTAAGCAGGACTGTGTAGGGAGCTGACTGGTTGGGGTTTTGGTTTGTGTGGGTTTGCTGGGTTTTTGTTACCCCTATATGAATCACAATAATCTAGTTGTATCTGGACACTATTGAGGATTACTATCTGTTTTACCAATAAAAAAGAAACAAATGATGAGGTTCTCTCTGTCCTTCTGAAACTGCCTTTCATGGTTTGTGACCTTTTTCTCCTTGATGTTCAGTGCTGCTTTGGGAAATCAAAATAGGTGTTGAGGCAACAACTATGAACCATAGCAAGGGCATAGTCATATGTATTTATGTCTGGCCAGGTTCAGAGAAAATTGAGATCTGGATTCACTGCTATGGAAAGGTTAACCTTATAATAGTTACCCAGGACAAGCTTGAAGAGAAAGCCATTTAACTTTAATGAATAACTTAAAATACAAAGGGCTAGTTATTCCAGCTGTTCCTTGGATGGAAAAAAAAAGATTTTCTTGAGAAAAGACTGTAGAAAAGCTTAGTCATTCAGACCCAAAGAAACAGGGGAAAACAGGAAGAAGTTAGGAGGAAATTCTTTTGTGCAAATGAGGATCTTACAAATTGCCCCACCCCAGAAGTAGAATTCACAGGGAGACTGAACTTAATTAGCGGCCATAAACTGTGATTTTCTTTTTGTCTTTTTTTTCCCAGAATTCCCCTCTCTCTTGCAGTAGCAGAAAAGTATGCACCTCTCTCTCTGTTGTGGTGGGGAACAGCAGTGCTGAATGAAGCACTGGCCTTTTCTGTTTCATTTACCAGTGAGAGCCTTGGACAACAACTTGCTGATTGCTGGTATGTCTTACTGCTCCAAACTGTGCTAAGTCTGGTAAAGTAGAACTGATCTAAGTAATGCCTCAGTGCAAACAAGGCCTTGAAGGTGGAATGTCTCTTTCTGTCTACTATTCTAACATTGGTATCATTAGTTCCTGATGTAATAGTAAAGGCAGGGAATCCTCACTGACTACTGTATTTATTAGCCTTTTCCAGATTCTTTGGTCATTTTCCTAGAGCAATGACTCATGACTTCATCACTGCACTGATTACATTAAATTGTTATTATTATTATTACAATATAAGTAACATAATGCTTATGTTAATTCACTTTGTGTGAAACTGTCAGAATTCCTGAAACAGTCCTCAATTGAAAGCATCCTACATGAGCATTTTGGCATTACTTATACTCTTGCTAATTATTCTATTCATATTTATTATATTTAACTCTGTTCAGTGATGGTTTTTGATATAGTATGCAAAAACTCGGAGCAAATGGTCAGACCATTTTGTGAAATCATTAGTCTCATTGGAAGGGAAATCAGGTCATAACATGACTGCTCTTTCTCTTACAGAATAGGCCAAAGAGTAATGTTGGGGCAGACGTGAAATGGAGGAAAAATGAAGAGTCTGCTTTTTAAAACCATTAAACACAGATGATAAAATGATGCAGTTATTTTTTTTTTCTAACAGTAGCAAAAAAACATGCAGATGAACAGAACACAAGTCAGATGTTGAAAGATTTTATATTTGCACTTATTTTATTAAGTGGTTGTTGTATACAATCCCAATAGTCTTGAGTTTCAAGGCTGGCTCTGAACTCTGTGCCCTGGAGAAAAGAAAGATTTCAAAATGCAGTTTCTGGTATATCCAACATAAAAAAACACCCTTATCATCTTTTTTGCTTGCTTTTTCTTCGTAATAGAGTGAATTTGAGGATATGAAAAACCACAGCATAGTGTAACAATGAAGGAATAGTACCAAGGTCTGACCTTGGTGCATTTATTCATGTGCTTGAAGTTACACATGTATTTTGCTCTGTTTACCACAGTAACTAGCGTGAGGTAAGAAAGACTGGGTGAGTTAAGGACCAGAGAGGAAAAATAGACTGCTATTTTGAAACGGAAATTTATGACACTGATCTGAGAATTGGCTGGTGAATTAGAGCTGAGTTTGAAATGTAGCATGAAAATGCTTTCACACCTTTCTCTAGAAAAATAAAATCCTCTAGAGCCATGTTTGCAGTGCAGCAAATATCAACTAGTCATTTCCTCACAGCTTCAGTTCTTTGTTTTCTATCCTGTTTTCATTCTGAGGGTAAAAGAGAAAGAGAAATCATGTCAGCAAAATTTGTGCCATTGCCAAGCAAATATGAGATAATTTAGTATATAATTTCAGGTATTGGCATGCATTCAGTCTCTCTTATCCTCTTTTGGCCATTTGACTGCTATTGAAGTAATATATCTTTTATTTCTCATAGCAAAGATGAAAAGATGGTCAACAAACCTCATAAATTCACCTGCCTCTCAAAGGCCATTTGCTGCTTCAGTTGCTACTGTTTGCCTTTGAAGCAAGATAAATGAGCTCTACTGCATCTCTGCACCATCCACATTAATACAAAAAAAATGTTTTGGGAAAATTCAGCATTCAGTTTCCAGTGTCCAGTCTATAAGACCCTGAAGTGTCTGGGTCTTCAGCAATTATAATCATTTAGGAAGCTTGTGGAAGTGGAGGACATGGCACAGAGTAGTCTCCAATGTGATATTTTGCTCCTAAAGCTCAGTTCTGAGAACCATGTATCTTCATCCCACTTCTAACACTTCTCTTCATTTGGACTCTCACGTAATAGAACCAAACCAACCTCCCCTTGTAGTTAACATGCTGGACACTTCCTGGTATTTCTGATCTTGGCAGGGAGGCTATGTCCAGTATTACTGAAATTGATACACTCTTTTTAATATGGCATTTGTTTCATTTTGTTCTGTAATCCAGGAACCAGGGGCAAAAAAATCTTGATGCAGAGGTTTCCTAGAGAGGAACAATAAACTTCTTCCCCCACTCTCTACCCTTCCCTCCTCCCAGTTTAATGTTTCTTGTGCTTCCATGCAGAGAGGGTAATAAAAGAAGTGTAGTCTTGCCCCCATCCCAATCCCAGCTGTGCCTGGTTTTGGAATTTTGCTATTCTGTCACATTCAGCTTCCATTTATATCTACTCCAGTTACTTGATACAATTTTCAGTAGAATCTTTGTGGTATATATTGGTATCTTTGTTTTCAAAATTATTTTTACTGATAACATAGGAATTAAAATTAACGGTCTTTGTTTTTCAGCAAGTGCTTTGGGATCCTTACATTATAGTCTAGTGAAACTAGCTGGAATGGCTTTCCAATGTCTTAATGCAGGAAATTATCTACAGTGCATCATCTGAACGTGTCCAGTGTTTTGTGCAACTACACTCTCTAAGAAGATGATAACACAACGGGACTTCTGCCACAAGCACCTTTCTTTTGTGATGTCACAAATTTGGTAAGGCAAAATCTAATTCTCTGCATCATGTTAAAACTGTAGCCATTCATTCATCAGCAAATTTGACTTTCAATAGATCCTGTAAATCAAGATGGACAACATAGATGGTATTTATTAGAAAATTACAAAGAGTCCCTATAATAATACAGGTTTCTGAACTGCTAACCAATGACAAATGCTTCACAGATCCTCCAATTAAATAAAAAACAATGGTGAAAAACTCATTTATCATTAAAAGAGAGCATTACTTTAAGTAAGGTAAACCATTTACCACTGAGAAATATCTGTGTTGGAATCCCCTTCTATGAATAAACAATTAACTTCAGCAAAGAATGAACATGAAATAATGAGTTTAAAACAAAATTTTCTGTTCAGTCAATTTAGTAAGAATAAAAAAATTTTACTGTGGTGTTGCACATAATTTTCAGTTCTCTCTTTAAAAAGGTTACTACCCTATTTTAACTACACCTGGGATTAGGTAAGCTTTCGAATTCTTTTTAAGTACCCCTTGTCCTAAATATTCCTTACCATTTTTAGAACAGCACTAGTAACTTAACAGTGACTTTCACCTGTGGAGGCCTTTACAATTCATACTCCTCAGACAGAATGAAGATGTCTAAGAACGTACATGAATGTGGGAAATGCCCCACTGGGTTGGACTGTGGATCTTTTTTTTGTCTCAGACAGGGGTAAGAGACCCTGGTGCACATAAGATATTTTGTGTGTACATCAAATGAGGAGGCTCCCATCTCTCCTCCAGAAATGCTCATTGAACTTCTAGCTGCACTTTTTCCTCTGAACTTTTTATTTATATGCTTCCTAACCAAGGCCCTTTCCAGTTGCAGGGTCTCCTCATCAACGGCTTCCAGGCCCTGCCTGTGTTGGTTGTTAACGTCACCAAAAGAAGTAAGCTTGATGGGGGGATCCTGGTGACAGTGGGACCTGTGTCCATTCATTCCATCATCCTTCCACACCTCCAGGCAGAGCATAACTGGGCAGCATCCACCTGCTCCTTGGTTAACCTTCGAGAAGCGACGGGTGATGTCAGGGCTTCTCTGCTTCATGCCCTCCTCCAGTTCCCTATCTGTGTATTTCCAGTCCTGTAACTCTTCCCTTTCTATCATTTGTTGTTCATTGCTGTTCAATTTTTTCTCCTTGTTTTCATTACCTATAGCCCTCTCCCTCCCTAGGGGGCCTTCAAGGTTTTGCTAATACATACCTAAACAGAAAAACAAATAGAAACAGCAGCAGTAAGAGAAACTATTCATAGAGTGCACGCAAGCTTGGCCTCCTTCTTCAAACCATGTTCTTTGTACTCCCCTAACTTCCATGGCTCTTATGAAGATAAATCGTTGCTTAGTCCTTTCACTATCCATTTTTTGGATTTTTTGTATGTGAACTTATCCAATTCCTGTCTGAACCTACTGATGGCATCTGCTGCCACAACCTCTTTCAGCAGCAAGTCTAAAAATACACTAGCCACTGTTTAATGTGTTATTTTTATCTGTTTTAATTTAATTCCACCAAATGAGCCAAACTCTGTAATGTGGTGAAAAATGGTTCTATATTCATCTTTTCAGCCACCTCTGTGATTTCATAAACAAGTCTTGCCACAGTGCGCTCCCAGTTGATAATTTTTTATTCTGATCTCGTAAAACAGCCGCTACCTTTAATCCCTTTAATAATTGCAGTTGTTTGCTATGTATCTTCTCTAACTTTTATCAGGTCCTATTCCAGATACTAAGACCAAAACTGTACAGAGCATTCAAAATGTGGATACAATAGAGTTGCATTAGAGTTAAGGCAAAATGATGCCTTCTCGCTACCATTTCAGATTATGCCAAACACTGGGTTTTGCCTCTTGTTTGACAAACTCACGTAGGGATTTCAGAGAATTTCAGTCTCAAGAACTTTAGCATTTCTGAGCTGTATCTGGTCATTAGATCTGGAAGTGCTTTGTGACAATTTGTATGCTTCAGAGAAAGCTAATTAAATACTGTTGTTAAGTTTTAGAAGCAATGTTAAGCAATACAGGTCCAGAATTTCATTCTGAATCCCATAAACGATTAATTTTTACCATTTTTCATATCATCCATGAATATGTCTATTGGTCCCAGTTCTGTAGGTCTTCCAAAGGAACAGCTCTACTTGGAGTGAAGTGGAATTTTAGTTTAAATAAGCTCAAATGTGTCTTTGGTATAAGGCAGACAAGGTGAAAACACTGTAGATCTTAGCTAGGAAGACAGCAGAGAGAGCAAATTGGAATTATTTTTGGATCAGTACCTGAGTCCTATGATAGAAAAGCCAGCTGCTTCTTCTGTGGTTGGTGATCTCCATGCTGAGTGTAGAAGGAGGGGAATGAGTGCTCCTTAAACATCACTGAAATTTTCATAGGTTTTTGGTTTTTTTCTTAATTTCTAAATTTTCAATGTCCAAATACCAAAAGTGAACAATTAAAGGTTTTTATCAGAGACTTTATGACTTTGAGCTGTTTGTGTGTGTATGTGTGCAGACATCCTGTATATGATGCACTCTTTGACTTGAAGGCCTTGCACTCAAACAAACAGGTACTGGGTGAGGAAAGAAATTTGTTTGTATCCATTTTACGTAGAGGAGTAATGGCTATCTAGCAATCAGACATTTTGCATATTACATTTTGCTTGGCACATTAGTTCTTACCTATTCAATATCCACATGAAACAGTAATGTATGACACCTGTAAAGGCAATTGCAGAAACAGACAGCAGGCTATTCTTTTATAAGGTTCTTTCCTGGTTTAGTTTGTATTTTAAAAATCCAGATATTTTAAATCCATTTTATAGCAAATAAAAGAAGGTGCTACCTGTTGGGTTTTTTTAGGGGGGAATGTTGTAAAATATCCAAAGAATAAGTAAAATATCCATTTAAAAATTAAGAATTTCACACCATTCTGTTCTTATGAATGCTGATTACTGGGGAGGAAAGGGTTGTTAATGTGAAATCTCTATGTCCTTTTAAAGGAACTCTGTTATTAAAAGGAGACATGTTTGAAGAGTGAACCTTTTGGTAATGATGAGCATCCCCTTTCCATTTTTGCCTTCAAATGGAAGATCTGATTTATTTTTTTTTTTTAAATTCAGGGAGGAGGTGGTTACAGCAAAGTTGTGCTTTAACTGAAAAATTTGATAAAGCCATCCTTTTTTTCAGTTTCAGATCATGTTTACTGAAGCATATTTCTCCTGATTGCTCTCTAAAAAGTCCTTTCTAATGTTATGATTGATGCCTCTAAATACACAGGCAGTGAGATGGCAATCACCAAGAAGGGAGAAAAGACATGAATAAATTTAGGGTTGAAATTCACAGTGTTTCTAATCATCAGAAGAATCAGGTTCTGGAACAGTTTTTCAACAGAAATCATGGTGGGATGAACTCTTTTCAGTACAAGATGACATCTGTGATTTCCAGCTCTGCCAATTTAATCAGAAGACTGTAACACAGCCTGGAGTCTTTATTTCTTGTGCAGAACAAAGAAAAAAGCCTGAATTCTGCAGTCTGGGCATCCTACTGTCTACATGGGGACATAGTTACAGCTCTGTTTTAGAGATTAAAAGGAGAAAAACCACAGTCTGCTCTGCTGCACCTTGCCTGCGCAGGCAGTGAGCTGTTACTGAGCTGTGGAGTTAAGTTAAATAACTTTTGTGAAAGCATCTGTGGAAGTTTTAGACATGACTGCTTTTCTGCTGGAGGGCACTGTCATCAGAACTGAGCTGGTAGAAATGCTCATACAAGTGTTTCTTATTTTCTTCAGCAAAAGGTCAGCCAAGATTAGCTCCAGATATGTTAAACAATAGGTTAAATGATGCCAGCTGACTTAGTGCAGAAGTAGATTTGGAGTGCCCACAAAGGCCATTCCACAACTGAGCTCTAGAGGCAAATGAACTCAGAAAGCAAAACCAACAGCTTCTGCCATTTCTTTGGTGACTGACACAGCTCAGTGGCTGTATCTATGCAACCAGTTATTTCTGCTGCAGTCTGAATTATAGTCTCCATACAGTGAGGACCTTTAAAGTATCAGGCTTGTAACATTTCTGGACAAGTTGAAAACACTTTGCTTCCAGATTTATGCATTCTCAGCTGTTTTCCTGTGGTACACTGGGAAATGCCTGATGGAAGGAAAAATCAGTGGACAATACGGACTTGTGCTTGCTTTCATGCTGCCTTGATGTCCCTTTCTTCTTGGCCTGGATGGCTCTGTACCACACTGCTGGGCCTTGCAAGTGCTGAAATGCTGGTGAGTGGGTGTTTGACACCTTGACTAATGAATGTGTCATTCTGGCGAGTCACTCACAAAGCTACCACAGAGCTTTAGCATGGCACTCACACTGGCACATTTTAGCCCAGTGTATTCTTTCTAAGGGTGATCAGTAGGTGCTTACAGGAGCAGTGTAAGAAACATGTACCAGATTACATGTACTCTGCTTTCCAGCCGTGAGTGACTTACGGACTTCCTAAATCACTTGTTCTTCCTAGGTGTTACATCCCAAATGCTGTGTTTAGCAACTACATATTAACTTGTACTTCAGCGTTGCTTTTTGGGGTGTTTTTTTTTTACTTCTTTTTTAATCTACTTATATTTTTGACCTCCATAACATCTCAAGGCAATGAGTTCTGTGGGAAATAAAGAATCGGTTTTATTACAAGCAAATGAATTTAGCAAATCACTAACATAAGAGTTTTTCTTTACTAACCTATAGGGCGTATCGCGGAGCTGTAAGACGCCGGATTCAGCCTGGAACCGGTGTCAGGGAAACATGCGAACGGGAATAGGGAACTGTAAATGAATATTGGTAAGGAAACCCCTTATACCACATGGCTGGTCCTGGAAGCTGCCATGCTGCTGGACACTCCACCTCCCAGCACGACACAGCCAACCAGAAAGAGGGGAACGCCTCTTCTATGACGTAAACGGGGTTGAACCTTAAGAATGTTTAAAAAGCGGGACTTTTGAATTGAAGGGTGTGTTCCTGGGAATCCTGCGTGCCTAGGACACCCAACACGTGTTGTAATTTTTCCTTTTCATTTTATTCCTTTTGTTTTGCAAACTTTTGCCGTCTTTCTAAATTCAATAAATGAGATTTTTCTCACAGTTCCAGAATTTAATTATACTTTAAAAAAAGAACTGACTGGCTTGCAGGACTTACAGTACACTGTAGCTATACATTCCTCAAAGCCTATTTGCCATTTTAGTGCCCTTGTTGCAAAGTTCCAGCCTACAGGGACACATACAGAATCTAGAAATGGAAAAGATCTATTATATCATAGTGTTTGCTCCAGCCTTAATAGAAAATGTTTCAGTCACAGCTTGACATGATAACATCAGTGTACTTTAAAGATACAGCAGGTCTCCGAACTGGTCTGCAGGGTGTGAAAACAAAATGACTTCTACAGCCCCCAGGGTGTTTTTCCTTGACAGAATGAGCAGGGCACGATTCATGCTAGAGCTACTGTGAACATTTCTTATGGAATAGGTGTTATTTTGAGTAGGCTTGTCGTTTTCCTGGCAATTGTAGTTCTAGAGGTATTTCCTATCTTTCAACAATTGCTAGACTAAAACTGTGTGCATTTCCTTTTATTTATAATACAGAGATGACCTCGTTGTATTAATAAGCCACAGTTTGTAAGTATCTTCATGGGGAATACAGTTGGTTTTCCATACCATAAACACTGTTTAAAGAAGAGGCATCAAATGGTTGAAAGTTTACCATAAACAGTCAGTCCAGAAGTAGAGCTCAGTCTTAAACATGAAGGTCATCTTCTAAGGATTATGCAGGATTGTCTCTCACTTGAAATTGTTTGATCAATAGTGGGTTTGTTCTTTTTTCCCCAAAGCTTCTTCTCTATTTCAAAGAAATAGAAAATTAAGGAAGCATTTACATCACTTTATTTTAGATCACATTAGAGCATCACAGTGCTCATGTCTAAGATTATATAAAGTGTGAAATAAGAAAAAAGGAAGAACTCAGCATAAACTGTTGAAAAACACAATTTCCTCTGGAATAATTCAGAAGAAATAAACATCAGTTAGTTTAAACAAAAACCCTTTTGGTTATCTACTGAGGGCTTTTCCTAACAAACAACAACAACAACAACACTGCAGATTTATGTAATTCTTTTATTTAGTGGCAATTGAAAGTGGTATACAGATGATATATGGGAATATTTCATGCATCTTTAAAAAGCAATCTCTTCCTGAATAGAAAAATTGTAACTATTCTCTGTAAACAGTAGTATACTGTATGTCGGAGTAGCAGGATTGGTTTCTCAATATCTGGGTAGTTCTATCTATAGGCAAAATATATGAGCTACTGTCTGTTTTCCTCTTTT